AGGCGAAATGATACCGACATCAAACGCAATATTTTAAAAATCAGACCGGTGAGCGAACCGGAAAAGGGATCGGATGGACGGGTCACCGGTTCAACTGTCAGGTTGAACCGGAATCAAACCGGGACTATTCGAGCTACAAGCTATTTTTCATTGTCATATCATTATTTTTATTTTTTGTATATATATATTTTTAAAAGTCAAAATGTTAATTATAATAATTAATTCACAAATGAAAAACATTAGGTGTAACAGTTGTATCACGTTGTAATATTACTATCTAATAAGTAGTCTTTAACTTTTTTTTTTTTGTTGACCTTATAAGTAGTTTTACTTTGCAGTATAGAGTACTACAACAAACAATATTGAATTACAACAATGATTCACACCACTAAAAAAAAAGATCACTAATAGTACTAATATATTTGGAATGTCAAAAAAAAAAAAGAAAAAAGAAAAAGAAACAAGGCATAGGCAGTCGGTTCCATCTACTGTCACATCATTAAAACACCACTTTTAGTACTCTCAATTATTTTTTATTGAATTAATGGAAAACAAAACTTGTTAACGGTTCATTTGCGACATTTTATTAATCGATAACACCGTGTACATTGAGTATTTTTTTCCAAAAGAAGGTAAGGGTTCAATTGAAAATCCTGCTTTTAACATAATTCTAAAACAATAGGAGCCTTAGAATTCCATAGATGAAAAGTCCTCATTTGGTTGTCACACTTTTTCCAAGATTATGAAGATGGTTAACAATTGATCCCTTCAGCAAACTGGAGTTTTTATTTTATTTATTTATTTTTTTAAATCGAACTATCTGTCAAAATAACACATTTTCAAACTATTTATTAAATTAACTTACCTTTTAAAAAATGTATGTTCAAAATACCACTTCATTATGAAATTCTATATTAAAATGCGATTTCATATTAAAATGATTTATTGGTGTGTAAATTTAATGTAGGTTATGTCAATATGAAATTACATGTTTAAAATTCAATTTCATATAAAAGCGTAAATTAATTATTTACATAAATAGTTTAACTTTTTTAGAATATTCACATAAAAAAAAAAAACTCTAGAAAAGTGATAAAAGTGACAAATTGAGAAAGGAAAATACATTTTACAGCTACATTATATGGCAGAATAAATGACAGGGCACGATTAATAAAAAGGATAAATTACAGTCCCCTCATTTTAAGTGCGAGAAAAATTCAGTTAATTTTATAATTTTGATATAATTATATTAATTTTTCTTGAAATTTTAGCACGATTATCAGTGCTAAAATTTCATATCAGATTCTGTTTTTCAGAATTTTGAGTAAATGGTGGTTGTTGCTTTGGAGATGAATTTTAAATTGTGCCCATTTTGCAGAAGAAATAATAAAAACAATAGCATCTAATGGGGTCATAGTTTTCCTATACATTGAATTGAAGGGTTCAATCATGGAATAAATGAAATAAGATCTTCCTTCTTTTGATTGATTGATTTCATACCAGCTGAGTGTTTGAATATTTGTTCTTGTGGGTTTCTCCCTAAAGCAGGATTTTCCTATCTACAACAACTCAACTGGGCATGAAACTTTATCTCGTTAGAAAATCAACAATTGCATAGTCCAAACTGAAATAAACATAGCAAAGAATATCAAACATTTTCTCATAGAAGTTGAACATGTAATCTCATACAACAAAGTTGTAAGATAAATTGATGTATTATTATTGATATGTATATATTACAAGATTGATTGTATATTTTGTATATTACAAGGATGTATTATATAGGAGAGGTTTTGGGAGAGGAGGTGAGGAGTGAGTGGTGGAGGTAGGTTTGGTGGAGTGTAGTAGGTGATAGGAGTGAGTGGTGGAGGTAGGTTTGGTGGAGTGTAGTAGGTGATAGGAGTGAGTGGTGGAGGTAGGTTTGGTGGAGTGTAGTAGGTGATAGGAGTGAGTGGTGGAGGTAGGTTTGGTGGAGTGTAGTAGGTGATAGGAGTGAGTGGTGGAGGTAGGTTTGGTGGAGTGTAGTAGGTGATAGGAGTGAGTGGTGGAGGTAGGTTTGGTGGAGTGTAGTAGGTGATAGGAGTGAGTGGTGGAGGTAGGTTTGGTGGAGTGTAGTAGGTGATAGGAGTGAGTGGTGGAGGTAGGTTTGGTGGAGTGTAGTAGGTGATTTACATTTACATTAACAGCCCCCCTCAAACTCAAGGAGGATAGGTACTAGCCAACTTGAGTTTGGAGAGAGTAACAAAACAGAAAAATAAACTGATAAATAAAACAGGATAGGAGACACGGTATGGTCGTGTCAGACCGATGTAGCAGACAGTTTATGGGGTCATGTCGGACCGTTGTAGAAGACAGTTTAAATCAATGTCGGGACAGTTTACAAACCCATGATCCAAACACGGCCTCAATGATCTTCCGGACAAAAGTATTAATCTCATCGTTTATATTGCCAACATTAAATAAGTGAATTAATATCTGTGATTTGGTTTTCATTTCATCAGGTATGTCTATGTGTGGCATGCGCTAATGGGATACTGGGGTGGACTTCACCCGGATGCTCCTGGGACCAAAAAGTACAATCCAAAATTAAAATTTCCAGTGCAGTCACCGGGGAATCTTGCACATTTAAGAGATATAGCAATGGATTGTATGGAGAAGTATGGTGTTGGTACAATTGATCCAGACAAAATATTTGAATTTTATGATGATCTACATAAATATCTTGTCTCACAGGAGGTGGATGGGGTTAAGGTTGATGCACAGAACATATTGGAAACCATAGCAACTGGGTTAGGAGGCCGAGTCACTTTAACTAGACATTTTCAACAGGCACTTGAGAAGTCCATAGCCACCAATTTCCAAGACAATAGCATAATCTGCTGCATGGGACAGAACACAGATTCCGTTTACAAGTAAGAATATGCACACAATCTCCTCTACTGTATCTCAATACGTACCTAGTATCAGTTTAAATAATTTAGAAAACATATAAATGTTAAGAATCAATTAATCTGTTTAGATATTTAAAATAACCAAACAATTTGTACTCTTTTAGGTATTGGGAAAATTAAATGTGCCTGCCAATTCAGAATAAATTGAAATTTATTTTTACATTCATGTGTAGCATCTTTGCATACCACAATAATTTAGATATGATAGTGCCCAACATGTTAATGCCTCCTAGTTTGAAATATTTATCCTGCTCAAGATTTCACAATTATATGTAATAGTGCTTTTGTTTGTAATTTGGTGTCGCAGCACAAAAAGAAGTGTCATTACACGTGCATCTGATGACTACTATCCGAAAAATCCAACAACACAAACACTGCACATAGCTGCTGTGGCTTATAACAGCATGTTGTTTGGTGAAATTTTTGTCCCGGATTGGGACATGTTTTATGTACGTATGATATGGCCTCTTTTTTTTTTTTTTTTTTACTAGACTTTTTTTTTTTTTTGTTTTTTGGTTTTTTTTTTTTTTTTTTTTTTTTTTTTTTTTTTTTTTGTAAAATTATGCTCGAGGCGATCCCTGAGAGGAATAAAATATGGGTTGTTGTGCAAATTTGAAATGTTTTTTTTTTTTTTTTTTTTTTTTTTTTTTTTTTTTTTTGGTGTTTAATGCTCGGGTAAGAGATGATAGTAAAACATATACATATAAATAATAAAAGAAAGGTGAGGGCGAGCTTGACTGAGGGGGTGAGTGGGAACAGAGGATAATAAAATATATAAATGGAGAGAGAAAAATAAATATTTAAATAAGAATTTAAGGGAAATCAAAAAAGAAAGAGAGGGGACACGCCATGTGATCAAGTGGAGAGTGAGCTGGGTATGCATATGCAGATGAGATAGTGGAGAATTATTTTATTGGAGAGGGAAGTGGGTATGGTGTGTCGTGTGTATGGTGTGTTTGTGACTGTGTTCTTTGTGAATGTGTATGTGTGTCCGAGAGAGAGTGTGTGTCTCTGTTGAGAGAGAGAGAGCAACCCGTATGTGTGTATCATCTGTCTCCAAGAAGCCCTTGAGAGAGATTGATGCCAAGTCCCTTTGTAGCTATGTGTGATGTGCTGGATATGGTGTATGTGCGCAATGATTGGAGCAGAGATAGCTCAAAATCAATGGACCGCAAAGACATCTTAGCGATGTCGGAGATCGCAGCCTCTCGAACGCCAGGGGCATCGCTCATCAAGTCCTCGTAGGCAGCCTCGAACGCTTCCTGCCAAAATCGAGGCAATCTGATCCTTCGGCTGTTTGTATACACATCCCACATGTGCTTAACAACCTTCTCTCTCTCCTCCATTTCGAGAACGTCGAGATCGTCGTGGATGGGAATGTCGAAGTCATCGGAGAAGCGGTTGAGATTGCCGGCGGACCACCGGAGGGAGACAGTGCTGGTGAGCATGGACCAGAAAGCCAGAAGCAAGATGGCGGATAGTGCCCAGAATTTGTACCGGCCTTTACCGAATGGACTCGAATCGGAGGTCTCTTTCTGTGTATGTGTGTGCCTGGAGAACCAAAAACTGCCGAGAGAGGGAGACCAGGTGCCGAGAGAGCCAGATCAGTGTTGTGTATCTTTTCTCTTTGCTTGTGAGTATGGCAGTGTGTGGTGTGGTGCTGCAAGATAGCTGAGGGAGAGGGAGCCCGAGAGAGAGGTTGGTTTGGTCTCTCGGTTTAAAGAGAGAGAAAGAGAAGTGGGTGACAGTGTATGGAGGGTGTGTGTGTATGCAGCCCCCATACCCATGGTGGAAGCAGCACAAATCTTGGCATTGAGAGAACCCAAAAATCAAACTCAGAAACCCAACAGATGAGTTCCATGCCCATGGCTAAGCCGGAGATCACGGAGTAGCCAGTAATGTTGGTGTGCTGAAGCAAGATGATGGTGCATGGGCTTGAGGTCCGGCGGGCGATCAAGGCAAGTTTGCCGCCCGCCGGAAGATGAAGAACACCAAGAGTTTAACCTATAGCTCTGATACCATGTAAGATAAATTGATGTATTATTATTGATATGTATATATTACAAGATTGATTGTATATTTTGTATATTACAAGGATGTATTATATAGGAGAGGTTTTGGGAGAGGAGGTGAGGAGTGAGTGGTGGAGGTAGGTTTGGTGGAGTGTAGTAGGTGATAGGAGTGAGTGGTGGAGGTAGGTTTGGTGGAGTGTAGTAGGTGATTTACATTTACATTAACAAAAGTGACGCTACACAACTAATAGGCGAAAGATCCCTAGTTGAAGACAAAGGCATTTTGCAGATATATAAAACACCACCACTTTACTGAAAAATTTGGGGAATGGATTTGGATATTTATTTGGAGAAGGTTTGTTAAATCTTTATGGATTTATTTTGAGTCGTATCTCGATGATTCAAAAAATACATCTTATAAGACTTGTCCAGTAGAGCATTCCATTTGAGCATTTATTAAAAAAAAAAAAAAAAAAAAAAAATTAATATGATTGGATCACATGTCTTCAAAATAGACAAAGAAAAATATGATTTTTTGCATAAATAATTTACTTGATAACCCTAAAAGATAAATAATTGAAATAATTGAAATAGGTCTTGAAACACACCAAACTTATCAAGGCAAACTCACAGCTAGAAACAATTCATTCAAATAAATTTGGCCAAATTAAGGCCACATATAGTTCACAAACAAAAAATAAAAAATAAAAAAATAAATAAAAAAAATAAAAAAAATTAAGACCACATAAAAAGTGGGTCACTAAAAGCACAAAATAGTTGAAAAGTAAACTCTTTTCAAGCAGAGAATAGTAAGCTTTGTTTAGATCACTAAAACAAAGGAAAAAAAATAAATAAAGATGGATTTTCTTGAGATTTTTGACTATTCAATCCCTTTCTCTTTTTGACAACATACCCAAAAAAAACTCCTCTCTGTTAACGCTCTATTAGGGCTATTGGAAAAATTACCACAAGTAACCTTCTCTACTATCCATAACCAAGCACCCCACCAATTCTCTATCTTGCAATCTCTCTCTATATCAATTATTGATTACAGTAGTTTAAAAATTAATAATGTGAAACTCAATCCTTATTATATCATTAGAGGTGAATTTATGCATAATGTTATAAGAATCTCTAAATATACCCTTGTAGTTTATATATATATATATATATATTATTATAATTATTTTATGATGATGCGAATTTAAGTAGAAGGGTAATATTAGAAGGGACTTACTAATTAAGTGACCCTAGGGGTGAGTGGCTTGTTTTTAACTGTTTTGCATCCACAAAGAAACATGAGGAAAGGAGAGGACAGTTTCAGGTTACGACTTGCAATTATTTAGAAATCATAACTTTAGTTTAACCACATAATATGAAATTAACTTGTGTGCATTAAGGTACAAAATCATTGTAGAGTTGGGTAATATTGACCTGTGTTTAATTAAATGAAAAAGTTGCATAACTAAGCAATAGTTGTATTACAAAAGTTAGAAGCGGTTATGAGCCTAGAAGAAGGTAAAGGTTCAGTTGGAAATCCTGCTTTTCACAATATTCTAAAACAAAAGGAGCATTAGAATTCTATGGATGAAGATTCCTCATTGGGTTGTCACATTTTTTCCAAGATTGTGAAGATGATCAACAATGTAGCCCCTTCAGAAAAGTGAGACGAACCTTCCTCATTGGGTTGTAACACTCTTTGCAAGATTGTGAGGTTGGTCAACATTGTAGCCCCGCAGAACGGTGAGATGATATGCCAACAACTGCACCAAAAGACAAATAAACTAAATGATTCAACATTGACAAAGTTAGACTGGATAATAAAAATAGAGCACAAATGATTTATATCTTAATATGGTGAACAGATTTGAAGGAAACTAGAGTTGAGCTTAATGTTTCTTAATGCTTTAAATGCATATGCAATAAGGGAGGGATTTCATGCTGATTTGAATAATTTCTAGCACTAGAAATTGTCACGTTACAATATTAACAATTTGAATCATAATTGCAAGCCGATACTATTCAGAACCAAAGATGCTCCATCCTCTTGGTTTGATTTTGACAATCCTCAATAGTATTTGAGTATTTGGGGGAGGGGGAGTTTAAAATTCAACACCTTTGACCACAAATCTTATGTATTGAGAACACACACACACACAAAGATAAAGACAGAATGCATGGTAGGAAATTGTCAAGAGAAAATTAGAAGAGTATAGTGAAGGAATTTTAAGCCCTCTCCAATCACACATGAAACAAAGATAGTGTGTCACAACCCCAAACCGCCCCTAGTAGGATGGTGTCGTGATGGCCAGTAATCCGAGATTACTGAAGGCCAACTTTCAAAATTCACACACAATCAGAGTATTACATATGGGGCTAACAAGTGCGGAAGCAATAATTTACAATACAAGTGGTCCATAAGAGCAGTGCATAGATCAAATGAAATGGCATACAGCTTTAACATGGACTTACATCTTGAATATAACATAAGCAAAATACATATTACATCTTGGTCGAAGGCCTCTCAAGCCGACATGTACAAAACACATGAACTACAGGTCAAGAAACATAAGCTTCAAGATTGCCGACTTCCTCACTGCCGACATAACATACATGCAAAACACACATCTCGGCGTAGCCGACTTCTTGCTTGTTACCTACATATATACATAGGGAGGGTGAGCTTGGATACTCAGTGAATGGTACAAGTAATAAAGGTTTTAAATGAATGATAACCGAGATCTTTGCAAAACATACATATCATAGCTTGTACAAAACGTGGGATGAATCTAGTTCATCAAACTTGATCTTACAAAACTTACTTACTTACTTTGGATGCTAATAACATCTACATAATACAAGGGATGACATTCCGAACTTACAAAACCCACGCGGTAAACCGTCAGTGGCAAACAAGGAAATAATCGACTCGGAATCGATTAGACAAACCCACCCGCACAAGGCAGTCGGTGGCAAGGGAGATATCTCAAATAAGGGTGCTACAAAAGTTCAGAGTCCTCTAGCACAAAAGATCTATGTTACAAAGGCCCGTAGCCCCCTAACACAGGCCATCCGTTCATAGACCGTCGATGGCAGAGATCTCTCATACTTAGTACTGCGAAAGTTTAGAGTCCTCCAGCACAAGGGACTTTAGTACTGTGAAAATTTAGAGTCCTCCAGCACAAGGGACTTTAGTACTGCGAAAGTTTAGAGTCCTCCAGCACAAGGGACTTTCCGAGAATGTCATCAAAACAAAGTTTATACTTGATACATAAAATAGGGATATCATTCATGCTTAACAAATACTTTTATCAAAACAAGGCAAAGCTTTATTAAAACGTGATAACATAACTTTATAAGGAATACCACTCACATAGTTCTTGGGACGTCGGGATCAAGGCAAAGGTCCAAGTCCTACAAACACATGGCAAAGTCTACTGAACGTATTTCTCAAAACAAGTCTTACATGCATGCAAATGATCTCGGGAAAACATGCTGGAAGTCAAAACACTGTTTTACATGTCAGGAAGACATGCTGGGTACCAACCAGGTCTTTGCCGAGGTCCCACACCTCCTGGCCGAGGTGTGGCTACCCAGGTTTCGGCGTGCGGCTGCATGCCGAGGTGCGCACAAGACAACTAAAGGTGTAAGTGATCATGCAAGGCAGGCCAAGGTGAGATACGATTCTTGGCCTAGGTGTGTGATCTAGGCAAGAGTGATCTCGGCGACTACACTTAGGGAAGTGAGGTCTGGAGATCTGGGTTTCCACCCGTGAAGAACATGAAGAACACGAACATGAAGACCATGAAGAATATGAATGCTAAAATCATAACTTCTTTATTACAAAAATCTGGATTTTCATGCTATGAGTTCGAAAACATGGACCTGGGTACCCATACTTGAAGATCATGTGAAAACAAACACAAAAACATGGATCTTGGCATGAACTTTCGGATCAAAACATGACTTTTCTTGAAGAACACATGAATACTATTTTCTCTTTCTAAAATCGAACTTCAAAGCAATGCATGGCTTACAAATCATATTCAATCATGCAATGCAATAACATGAACATAAAGAACAACATGAGCAGATCAAGAATCTAACCTTAGAACACGGATCTAACGGTTCGATCTCTAGGGATTAAGCTTGGAAATCTACTCTCCCTCAAGAACTCCTCTTCCTCTCCTAGAGCTTTTCTCTCCTCTTCAAAACAAGGATATAGAAATGATAGGTTTTCTCCCTCTGTCGGCTGACTTAACACTCAGCTCGGACACGTGGCAACGACTGGTTGGTTCTCCTAAAAAAGGTGATAGATTGACAAGACATGTGTAAGACAAAGTGTATCTAACAAGCTACTCGGTAAGGCACTCTGGCAAGTGATGACATCGGCTAAGGACAAAGCTTCGGCAACTAAGGTGACAATGACCTCGGCTAGGAAGGACAACACTTGACTAAGCTGTGCCACACCTCGGTCTAGGTCATACCACTCCAGGACAAGATCACTTAGGTGCAAAGGTAACATCTCGGCCTAGATAATACACATCTCGGCCTTGGTGATGAACACCTCGGCCTAGATAATGACATCTCGGCCAATATGTCAGGGCGAAGGTGGAGGTCAAACAAAGTGGTTCCAAGATAAATTCTAGACTGAAGATGACCTCGGCTTGGAATGATCTAGGCTTAACATAACTTAGGCTTGAGACACCAAGGAAGGAACAAAGCGTGCACACAACACTTAGGCAAATCACATAAACACAAAACAAGGCATGGACCTTACTTAGGCAAAACAAGTCATAAACATACAAATGCAAGCTCAACGAGTCATAATCATACAAATGCTCATGAACATGACTAAGACATAAATGCGGGTTGTTACATCCTTCCCCCCTTAAAGAAGTTTGGTCCCCAAATTTCGCTTACCTTGTTCCCAAAACGGCTCCGGATGTCGAGTTCTCATCTCTTCTTATCATCTCTAGCTTTTACCTTGGGACAATCCTTAATGCGATGACCTCCCTCACCGCATCCGAAACATGCTCCAGTTGCCCGAAGACAATTGACTCAGAAAGTTTGTGAAGGATTTCTCAAGAATTGCGATCCCATTGACACAATTGACTCAGAAAGGAGTGGCATACGAATGGGCAGAGGACAGGGAATCAGCCTTCCAGGAGCTAAAGACGAGGTTAGTAACAGCACCAGTTCTTGTACTACCGTCAGGTAATGAGGAATTTCAGATTTATAGTGATGCTTCGCATAAGGGTTTGGGGTGTGTATTAATGCAAGGGGGTAAGGTTATAGCATATGCATCTCGCTAGTTGAAACCCCATGAAAAGAATTATCCTACCCATGATTTAGAACTAGCAACCGTAGTATTTGCTTTGAAAATTTGGTGCCACTACCTGTATGGAGCTTCTTGTCATGTTTTTACAGATCACAAGAGTTTAAAGTACTTGTTCACTCAAAGGGAATTGAATATGAGACAGAGAAGATGGCTTGAGCTGTTGAGAGACTACGACATGCAAATTCAGTATCACCCAGGTAAAGCTAACACAGTAGCCGACGCTTTGAGCAGAAAGTTAGTTAGAAATTTGGCATGTCTAGTAATGAATTTAGTGGAGTCGACTATCATTGAGGAAGTAAAGGCAAGACAGATGGAGGATAAATTCTTCAAGAAGGTCGTTGAGGAGATTACCACAAAGTCGAGATCGGGATATATCTTTGAAGGTCAAACACTTAAGTTTGAAGGAAGATTGTGCGTGGCCGACGTCTCGGGGTTGAAAAGGAAAATTTTGCAGGAAGCCCATGATTCCAGATTAGCCGTTTATCCAGGGAACAACAAGATGTATCAAGTTGTGAAGTAGACTTTTTGGTGGCCAAATATGAAAAGAGAAATAGCCGAGTTTGTATCCCAGTGTTTGTATTGTCAGCAAATAAAAGCAGAACACCAGAAGCCAGTAGGACTTCTCCAACCTTTGTCAATTCCTGAGTGGAAATGGGAACACATCTCCATGGATTTTGTTGTTGGTTTGCCGAGGACAAAAAAAGGTATGGATTCGATTTGGGTTATAGTTGATAGATTAACTAAGTCAGCACACTTTTTGCCTGTTAAAACTACCTTTAATGCCGATCGACTTGCTTTGTTGTATATGAATGAGATTGTTAGACTTCATGGAGTGCCGATGTCTATCGTGTCAGACCGAGATCCGAAGTTTGTTTCTAGGTTTTGGCAGAGTTTACAAAGAGCTATGGGAATCGAGTTGAGGTTTAGCACAGCTTTTCATTCCCAAACCGATGGGCAGACAGAAAGAACGATTCAGACACTTGAAGATATGCTCAGGTTATGTGTATTGGACTTCAAGTGAAGTTGGGAATTACATTTGCCATTAGTAGAATTTGCTTACAACAATAGCTTTCAGGCTACCATTGGCATGGCGCCGTATGAAGCTTTGTATGGGAGAAAGTGCAGATCGCTGACATGTTGGACTGAAGTGGGCGATAAGACTTTGATTGGTCCCGAGTTGATTCAAGTGACAACAGAGAAGATTAAGCTTATCCAGGAAAGAATCAAAATCGCTCAGAGCCGACAGAAGAGTTATGCCGACCAGAGAAGAAGAGAGTTGAAATTTGAAGTTGGGGATCATGTATTCCTGAAAATTTTGCCGATGAAAGGAGTTTCAAGATTTGGGAAGAAAGGTAAGTTAGCACCTCGCTACATCGGGCCATTCGAAATTCTTGAGAAGGTTAACCCCGTTGCCTACAGACTTGCTTTGTCGCCAGAACTAAGTCAAGTCCACAATGTGTTTCATATTTCGATGTTGAGGAAGTATATTCGGGATCCACTACATGTGATTGATCATTCCGGGATTGTGGTTAATAGAGATTTAGGTTATGACTAGAAGCCGATACGGATTCTTGATAGGCAAGTGAAACAGTTGAGGAACAAGTCGATACCGATGGTGAAGGTTGAATGGAAAGAGCATTATGGCAAGGATGCCACATGGGAAATGGAAGAAGAAGTGAAAATCCGACATTCGGAGTTGTTTTTGGGGTAAGGTAACTCCAGTTTGGGAACCAAACTTCTTTAAGGGGGGTAGGATGTAACAACCCTCACCTTGTCTTAGTCATGCTTGTATGCATTTACATGATTTTGTCTTGTTAAGTTGCATTTGCAGACCTTGATTCGTTTTGTCTAAGTGTTGCTTGTATGCTTTGTTCCTTGCTTGGTGTGTAGAACCGAGGTCATCTTAAGCATAGGTCACACCCTTGAACCTTTTACACCTAGGACCATCTTGGAACCACTTTGGTTGACCTCCACCTTCACCTTGGCATATTGGCCGAGATGTCATCATCTAGGCCGAGGTGTGAATCATCTAGGCATCCTAGATCTTTGATCCTTGCACCTAGTGATCTTTTTCTTGGACTGGTATGACCTAGACCGAGGTGTGGCACATCTAGGCCAAGGTGTGGCATAGCTAGGCCAAGTGTTATCCTTCCTAGCTGAGATCATTGAGATCTTACTTGCCGAAGCCTATGTCTCGATCTGAGGTCCTTGCCTTGTCAGAAACGCCCTTGCCACCTTACTTGTTGTATACACTTTGTCTTACACTTGCCTTGTCTTTCTGTCACCTTTTTGAGGAGATCCAATCCGGTAGTGCCACGTGTCCCAGCAGAGGGTTAAGTCAGCCGGCAATGAGAGAAAACCTATCATTTGCTATATCTTTGTTCTAGGAAGAGATAGAAGCTCTAGGAAGAGAGAAAGAAGAGTTCTTGAGTATGAATAGATTTCCAAGCTTGATCCTTAGAGTTTTAACCGTTGGATTCGTGTTTTGAGGTTAGATTCTTGATTTGTTCCTTATGTTCATCTAACCACATTGCATGATCTAGCATGATTCATGAGCCATGCATTGCTTTGAAGTTGGTTTTAGAAAGAGAAAATGATGTTCTTGTGTTCTTGAAGAAAAACCTTGTTTTGATCCGAAAGTTTATAACAAGTTCTACGTTTTGTGTTTGTTTCCAAGAAATCTTCAAGTATGGGTACTCAGGTCCATGTTTTTGAACTCATGCCATGAAATCTCAGATTTTGAATAAAAAAGTTATGATTTTAGCATTCATGATCTTCATGTTCATATTCTTCATGTTCTTCAAAAAGAACCCAGATTTTCCCGACTTCATTTCCTTGAATGTGGTCGTCGGGACCACACCTTGGCCAAGAGGTGTGGGACCTCGGCCTAGACCTGGTTGGTACTCAGCATGTTTTTCCGAGATGAAAAACAGTGTTTTAATTCCCAGCATGCTTTGCTTTGTTCTGACTTGGTTTTGAAGAGAAATGCCGGGATCATTTCACTCATGTAAAACTTATTTTGAGAATGCATTGCACAACCATCTTTGAGCATTTTTTATTGTCTTCTTGAAATGCATTCAATAGACTTTGCCATGTATTTGTTGGTCTTGGATCCTTGCCTTAATCCCTACACCCGAAGAGCTATGTGAGTGGTATTTTTAATAAAGTTATGTTATAATGTTTTGATAAAAGCTTTGTTTTGCTTTGTTTTGAAAAAGTACTTGATCAAGCATGAATGATTATCCCTAGTTTTGTATCAAGTGTTACGTTTGTTTTGATGACATTCTTGGAAAGTCCTTAGTGCTAGGGGACTATAATGCAACTAGCGCGTTTGTCTTGGAAAGTCCTTAGTGCTAGGGGACTATAATGCAACTAGCACCCTTGTTTGAGATATCGCCTTTGTCTTGCCACCGACGGTTTACCGCATGGGTTTGTCCGGAATGTCATCCCTTGCACTATGTAGATGCTAGTGAGCATCCCTTGAAGATTTGAAAGACTTGATAGATGAACTTGATTCATCCCATGTTTGTACAAGTTATGTTATGTATCGTTTTAATAAAGATTGTGGATATCATTCATTTAAAACCTTTATTACTAATTTCATTTACTGAGTATCCGAGCTCACCCTCTCTTTATATATATATATAGGTGACGAGTAGGAAGGCGGTGACGCCTAGATGATTATTTGCAAGATGTTTTGGATTCATATTTTGTAGCATCTTGAAGATTATACTTCTTAGCTTTGTATTACATGTCTTTTGTATATGTCGGATTGAGAAGCCTTTTGATCAAGATGTAACATGTACTTTATTTTATTTGTATTTAAGTTGTAAAACCATGTTAAGATGTATGTCATTTCATTTGATCTATGCATAGCTCTTATGGACTACTTAGATTTAAATTTATTGCTTCCGCACATGTAAGCCCCATATGTATACTCTGAATGTATGTGAATCTTTGCAAGTTGGCCTTTGGTAATCTCGGATTACTGGCCATCACGGCAACATTCTACTAGGGGCGGAATGAGGTCGTGACAGTTGCATAGTTATATCCTCTCCCAAACACAAGCAACAGTTGCTCAGCAATCAATAGTTTCACAAGATCCTTCATTTCCTGGTCAAGCTTCAGCACTTTCCTGACTTTGCCTGCAAAATAAAAAATTACAAATAATTAGAAAAATGTCCAGATATTAATAACATGCTACCTTGGCCATAAATAGAAAGGGAAATTGTGTTTCAGTGGGAATCATACAAAATAATTGCAATTTTCATAGACGTTCAAATGGGTCTATGTCCGGTGCAAGTGTAAGTCGTGGTATGGGGTATAACACCCACTTGTATCTCCATGAAAGTGCAATTATTTTGAGTTGTTCTCACTAACACTGTGTTTGGTTTGAGGATTTAGGAAGGGATTTGAAAAGGTAAAGAGAAAATATATGTAAAATGTGAATAAAATATACTTACATTTCATTTAGTTTCGCACACCTTTTCTCTTTCTCTTTCCAAATCCGTTTCTAAATCCCCCAACCAAACATAGTGTAAATCTCACTTTCTCCTAAATTGAAAGTCTATGAAATCTGCAACATGACAAGGAAAGAAACCAATAAAACATACTTGGCAATTCAAATAGGCCGTCTATTATAGCCTTTTTTCTTGCTTGACTGGATATTGTATTGCCACCAATTGCCAGTGCTAGCATAGGCATCACTACTATTTGACTAGTATATGCTTGTTGGCAGAGGAAATGAGATAAACTCAAAATACGATACTGATAAAAAAAAATTAAAAAAAAACAAATTTTATACCTTGGTACTAGCCACATCAATCTCAACACCAGCATTTATATGGACACCAAAGTGTGTGCTCGTGGTAATTGCACTACCAACAGTATTTGTAATGCCAATACATAGTGCACCAGTTTCTAATGCATACTCTAATGCATGTAACGTATCTGCAGTTTCACCAAATTGACTAACAAAAACAGTTGTATCTTCTCTGTATATTGGTCCCTGCCTATCCAACAAATCACTAGCAACCTCCATTGTAACAGGAATACCTATGAATATTACAAATAAAAAAATAGTTTTAAGTTAGTCGGTAACATCAAATTTCAAAATCTACTAAACATGACATACAAGAAGTACTTACTAGAAAGTTCTTCCAATATAGGTCTTGCAGCTAAAGCAACATTATAGCTTGTGCCACAGCTAATAAAAACAATACGCCTGCTTCTCCTGATAGTTCTCAGGTGATCCTTCAGTCCACCCAAAAGAACACTTTGAACCTCCTTGTATAAGTCTGCCTCACATTGTTGTTGTTTAGAGATTCTAGTTGTTCGTGAATTTCTTTTTGCATATAATGCTCATAATTTCCTTTATTTATTTGCTCAACCTCCATCTCAAGAATGGATAATGCACGCTGCACAGAAGCATGTCTAGCAAGGTCGGCACTGTGTTTTCCTTTGCCATGATCAAACCTAAGGATTGATGCAGATCAATTTTGAAGCAACCACCATCAAAAGTAAATTACTATCTACAGAGTAATGATATGCAAACAGAAAATTCATACAAAATTTTCATATAGAATGATGTGGCACAAGATGAACCTTTCAGTTTAAAACAAAATAACCATGAAGATGAGTTTATTTACAATAATGGCATTGCCACATCATTCTTGTGAGAGTTTTTTTTGTATGAATTTTATGTATCAATAGATTTTTCCATATCTATATATGTGTTTTCAAAGTAATTATACTAGCTGACATTAATGATATAATCATAATAGAAACCTCACAATTAGTGAACACATTGCTGAGCTCAAAACACTAGATTGTTTAAATATAAAAGCAAAAGAAAGTGATCAAGAAAAGAATTGAACCAATGGTAAATAAAACAGCTCAATTAAGAAAAAACATGGACGTTTCCATGACATGTCAAACCTAAAAAAGCAGTTATAAATCCCTATACAATCATATTACTGAACAAGCGAGGATTTTGTGGCACCTTGGTATCTCAAGCCTCAGATCATAGATACATAAGCAGATTGTAAGACAATGAGATCAACACTTGGATATTAGGCTTAATCTAGTTGTACTGCTAGTTAGTATTAGCAGTTCTCATCCAGGATGCAGTTTTTATTTATCTTTTCACAAACAAAATATAAGTATACTGGCTGCCACTCTATAGCCTTAGGGATTTAGGTAAGCATTGGAAAACAAAATGTTTCCAATGTGGAATGAATAAGGACTAATCTAACACTAGCTAAAGAAAACATTTCATTTTAACATCTGTAACTTCATTAACATATTTGATTATTGCAGCTTAACTTTATACTATCTATACAATGAAAGTTGGAGATAGGGCTGTTCAAACAAACATTCGACCCAACTAACCCGATCTGGACCGACAACTCACAAATGATTTTGATATCCATTTCGGTTAGCCACGAGTTAAGATTGTAGATTTTTTATTTTTGCGGTCAGATATTGGATGAATAGATCAAAAAACAAAGAAACCCGACCTAACTGAAATATTATAAAAAGCATTTTTCCAGCCACATTTCTTCTTTTTATTAGCTAGAGTATTACAATCTTATCATCTTGACAGAAAATATTAAGCAATCTTTGCTCTTTTTTTTTTTTTTGAGAAATCCCAAATATCGTCATTACTTTCTTCACAAGTTATTCAACTTTTTCACCTGCACATCATAAGTACTATTGCTTTATTCAACCTTTCATCTTCACATCATAATGATACTTTCTTCGACTTTCCATCACCTCATCATCATTATATTTTCTTTTCATTTCAAAACTCTCTCATATTGTCATTTAGTTGCTAAAGACTAGTTGTAACTTGTAATAGAACCACACAATAACCTTTAGTTTGATTAAGGCTTGGCCACTGCTGTTGCTTTTTGCCACCGCCTCACTATTGATGCTGCTTTCTGCCGTTGTTTCACCTTTGCCATTAGAGATCACTTTGCCGTTACTTCTCTGTCTCAGATCTAAATTTTTCCTCTATCCTTTCTCTGTCATTATAATCTCCTCTCTCACTCCTTCGCCTTCCTGTCTCTCTCCCTCACATCCAAAGCTCTTCTCTTAAATTTGGTCTCTTTTCCATTCCTCTAATCCTTGTTTTTTTTTTCATCTCAAAAAATATATACGAGGTTAAATTTTGTTTTAATTTTTTGGGGTTATGATTTGCAATGCGATGAAGATTGGTTAGTTTCGACATTTCGACGGAAACTATTCAATGCGAATATGTTCGGTTTCGAGCATCTAGATGGTCAAAATTGGGTTCTTTCTTATTCACCCCGAGAAGATCGGTTCGGGTGACAGGGTCTATGGCAAACACCCCCCCCAGTCTGACCTGACAAGTGAACACTCCTAGTTAGAGATTTGAAATCCCTTTCATAGTGTACTTGGTTGCCTATCCCTAAGATTCACTGACCCACTTTCTTTGACGAGAACACAACTAAACTAGTAATTAATCATTAATGCTATTTTACAACAAAAAGATGTCATTATATACCTAACCATCAAAATTGAGATTTGGCATTGTCTCTTGCTAGCAACAAACTAGTGATCCTAGCAAATTGCACCTTTGCAACTTAAATTAATGGAATCCATTAAAAAAAAACAAAAACAAAAACAAAAACAAAAACAAAAACGCAAAAAGCTGAAGAGAATTTTTATTAATCAACCTTCTTGAATTGTATGTTCAAGACTACCAGAGCATAGTCAACTGAAAATTATAGCCTCAAATTTCAGGACTCCTAGCAAGGAGTTCCTATTAACCCTAACAAAACAGTCAGAAACCACTTCCAGATTGGACAGCAAACAAACATCAAGAACCTAAGGACCCTTTAAGGACTGGCAGCCACAAGCCTCCAAAAACTAATAGCCACACTTGGTTCAGTAGAAGCTCCTGATGGGGAATGTAAACAAATTGGATAAGAAATAATTGAAGGTTAGGAATTTTACTTATTTGGAAGTTTAATTTATTTAGGAAAATGAATTTGTTTAGGATTTTATTTCATAGTTTTTGTTTGTTTGGTTTACTTGCATACATGGCTTTTATGTAAGGGTTTATCAGGCTTAGGTTTGAGTATTAATTGATAGAGATTAAGATATTGTTTTGGGACTATTCCTTGTTTTACCCTATTAGGATTAGGCACATTCATAAATCAATCAACAGACAATCACACACACAAATGAGACACATATATTTACGTGGTTCGGCCCAATGCCTACGTCCACGAGAGAAAGAGATAAAACTTTACTATGATCAAAACAAATACAAAAACAGAGAAGGAGGAGCTCACTCTCTCAACCCAACTCACAGATACACTCTTCACAACCCTCTCTTTTCTTCACACTCTGATGATTTCTCTTAGCTTATAGCTCTTCCCATTTTATACACAAATGGGAGTGCAAAAGTTCAACATCTGCTTGCCAACAACCAACCATAAACATAAATGGCAAGCTACCCTAGGTTTGGAAAAACTTTAGCAAATTTGTATTGACAGCCTCTATACTTGACTTCCATCATAGCTAAGTTCATATTGGTGTGGATTCTTAACAATTCTCTCCCTTTACACCTATGGGGAGTAGGATCCTGTAGCTTGACTTTTCGTGCTCCTTTTGGATACAATTAGCCCTACAGTTCGGATTCCTATGGTTCTGAATTTGATTCCACAAGTGTAATGTGAAATAGATAAACACAAATGAGTCCAAATCCGACAATTCTTTTAGAAAATCGATTTTGAATCAAAATGCCAAAAATAGACTGCTTTGCCAGATATAGAGTCGCCACCTAAATATTTTGAAAAATTTAGGAAACCCTAGACTTGTGTCAAAGGCCACTTATCTGTCATCACCAAAGTGTATCAGTTTGGGAACTTAGGTACGAGAGGGGAAGGCCATGAATTGAGCACCCCACTTGCCCGATCAAAGATCGGCCTTTACTAATCATGATGTGATTCTTATTTACAATATATGCTCTTGTTCCGATTATTAGGCTAACCGTACTATGTGATGCACACACAAGTATAGACTAATTTGCAAAAGTTGGAACATTTGATTTCATGTTTTGTTTGAAAATTGTTTTGAATATGTACCACTTGAGAAAGTAAACTCATATGCACTTTGATCAAACTATTCTAGTTTAAGCAATTAGCCTCTATCCACAGGCATTCAAACAGTTTATCACTTAAGCAATTAGCCTCATGGTAATCATGCTTAACATGGCAACAATCACACTTATGCTATATGCTAAAGTAATAGAGCTTACCCTAATTCCCGATGAGAGCAAAAAGAGAGAAAATAGTTAGAAAAATGCATGATCATAACGATGCAAATCACTAATGCAACACATACACAATGCAACTACTAGGCTCAGCTACTAACATGGCAATTGAGTCAATTCAAGGCATACGATAAAGCATGTATCCAAGCAAGGAATTTGAAATTGACATTAGATTAGTATGATGAGCCAAACCTCATGCGTGCAAGACTAATGGATGCTTTATACATGGAATATGCTAAAATAAACATGATGTTCTAAGCTATCCATCATAAGCAGATAAATACAAGGGAGAAAGACGTGGGGTTAGAAGACATACACACTCATTACAATTTGTCCTCGCGCAGGAGGGTCTAAATAAATGGACTAGCTAATTAATTGCCTAATTAACTAACTAATACAATACCCAAAATAAATTAGCTACACTAAGTAATTAACCAATTTACTAATTATTACAACACCACAAATTAACTAACTATTCTAGCTAATTAATTAAATGCAACACATAACTAGCTATTCTAGCTAATTATTACGATACCAAAATTAGGGAATTGAAATTAACTAATTAATTACAAATCCACCATTCAGTGGGTCCCGAGGATCAATGAAAGGACTTATGCATGCAAGCGGATTTTCCACCCGAAATGCCTCTGTTTTGTTGCCAAAAGGGTTCTGTTTTGCAGCCAGAAACTTGCACTGTTTTGCCTCAGCCTCTATAGCGACTCCAGTTTTGACCCGACATTTTATTATGTTCCAGACTAGGGTTTCATGGTTCAATGTTGTTGTTCATTTTTTCCCCCTTGTTGTTCCTTGGATTGGCCATTTGGATTGTAGTTGTGTGTTTGAAACAGGTTGGTTACTTGTTTTTCCAAACTTTTGTTGCCTAGATTTTTGCTCCTTCGCTCGAGCGACCATTCTTGCGCTCGAGCGGGCTTTGTAAATTTTGCTCCTCCACTTGAGCAGCCATTCTTGCGCTTGAGCGGGCTTTGCAAACTCTCAGTATTTTGGCAGACCTGAAAATACTGGAACAATGTACTCTACGGTCGAGTGGTGTTTCCTACGCTTGAGCGGGTGGATGCTCGAGGGTCTAATCTTGTGCTTGAGCGATGTCCTTCGTCTGTAAAAATTCTGAAAGTGTGTATTGGACACTCGAGTGAAACAATGTGTCTGACGCTCGAGCGTCACTTTTCACGCTCGAGCAGGCTGTGTGTATAACAGTCCGTGAAGATGACTTTTTTCATCACTTTTTCATTTCTATCTCTCTCTAAAACTTTTCAAAAACCTAGATCTTGAGTTTCTTTCTCTAAAACTCATCTTCTCTCTACCATTTCACCTACATCCATTGAGATCTTCACCCTAGTGCCTTTGAGAAAAAGGTAGAGCATCTCAAGAGCTCTGATTTGATCCTAGTATAAGTTGGTTTCGACGTCTTTAAAGTTTTGCCTTTGTTGCTTTGGCCTTCTAAACTTTGAGGTAGGGATTTTCTACACTTTTATATGGTCTTTAGCTTAGTTATTTGTCATTGTGTAACAATGGTGGGATTTGGGAGTAGTTTGAACAAACCTAGGGTTTGAATGGGAAGTAAAAAGAGTGGTTTTTGGTGAATGGGAAAATAAGTGGTTATGGAGCTTGAAAATGAGGTTGTATTTGCCAAAATTGTTGATTTTGGTACTTGGGTTGATATTTGGAAAAATAGAGAGTTTTGCCCTAAATGGGTCAAATTGTTATTTTGTATAATTAACTGAAATTGACCTCGGTAATATGAAATTAGAGGATTATTGATATAAAGGGTGGAGTTGGACACGTGTTGTCTCTCACCTATGGAATCTTGATTAATTTGTCTATTGAGAAGATTATATGTTTGTTTAGAAATATCTGTGTTGGACTATCGGTGGAGGATAGCTATGATTGTTGTAAAAATTACATGAGGATTTGGTAAATTGAAATTAATCTATTGTTGGTTATCATTGAATATGACTATGTTTAAATACATTGTATATGTGTGATGTTTGAGAGGAGATGGGGGATGGACTCCATTGAAATTAAGTTGGCCGGAGTGTCTAGGGTGAAAGTCCCGAAATCTTGTGTATACATGGGTGCCGATCCCACGGATGAAATTTCCGTAAAATGGCAGATTGAAGTGTTTGTGTGGTATGGTGTTGACTTGGAAAACCATTGAGTTGTAGTCTCAGTTGAATTGTTGAAAGATAATGGGATTGGCTCAGGGATTGAAAAGAATAAATTAACTTGAAATGAATTGAAGGAAAATGAATTGAAATACGAACTTTGGTACTTTATGATCTTCTAAAAATGTGAGTGTTTTGTCACAAGCATTGTGTATGCACACTGTACTTATATCTCCGCTAAATCTCATATACTGTGTTAGATTATTCCTACTGGGCTTTGGCTCACCCTATTTTGGGAAAACCATTTTCAGGTGCTGGTGACATGCCTCCGCCAAGACAATAGCTTGGAGGGACTTTTGGGAAGCAAGAGCTTATTTATTTTGTTTTATTCCTTTGTATAGCCAAGGGCTTTAATTGTATTGAGCTAGGCTCACTTTTGTGTAACCAAGTGATGACTTGGAAAGATGTAACCCTATAGGGCATCTGATTATATGTTTAGTTTCAATTCTCTCAACATTGTAACACATGCTATAGATTTAGGATGAATAGTGGTGAATGTATATCACATGTGTTAACCTTTGTAAACAAACTCTGAACTTTGATGAATGAATGTATCTTATTTCTATTATTCTTCTGCTTACAAGCAGTATTTATTGCATAATTTTGGAGGCGTTACAGCCTCTTCTCTGTTTAGTAAAAAAAAAAAAAAGGTACTGCTTGGCTGAAAAAGGTGGCCAGTAGGCCAGAAGTGGTGGCCGGCCGCCCACTAATAGTGGCCTACCGCCCAGTAAAGGTGGCCTGCCGGCCACTAATGTTCGGTTTCTCCTGCTGCAATAGAAAATAAACAGAGCACAAACAGAGCATTTTCAGGGGATGTCTGTCCACCCTACCCCTCCTTATCATAGAACAACTCAAAGGAGTGGTAGGCTCGATTCACAAGCCATCAATCAGCGTAAATTCATTGCCTGATAACTTATGAACCAAGTGATACAATTTCAATAAATGCACAATGAAAGACTCATAAACCTCCTCCCCATCATGATATTGATCAAGGGAAACGGTTGACGTTGAAACTTGAACCATTTTCATCACTAACAAGTATGAAATGCTTCAAAACTTAATGGGTTCAATTAACGTCTGATTGAACACCAAATTATGTTATTATCTTGTTACCTCTTTTAAGCCATTGATTACCTCTTTTAGTTACATTTCCATCCATTAGTCATTTTAGTCCAAAATGAGCATTAAGTTCACTAATGGAGAGGATTGTCAAACCAAGGGTTGTTTTGGGCATGAGAGAGATGTCATGACGTTCGTAACGAACCCCCAAAGGGATTAAACCATTAAGCACAAGTTCTCTATCTCAATCTTAAACAACATAATTGGTTGAAACGATTCTCAAAGCAAAGAAAAAGCCAAGAAATGAGGGAGGTTGGAGAGATGATTATGAATGTATGAAAAGCATGAAATAAATGCTATCAACTCAAATAGGTTGGTGGCTAAGGCCTAAACCACCAAACCTATGAGGACCATTACACTACAAGCATGCTATACAAAGAATAAATGAAATAAACAATCTAAAACAATCCTAAAATAGCTAAAAACAGTGCTGGAATTGAAGTACAAAAAGCTAAAGAGTAAGCTAAAATAATGGAGAATTTAAGCTAGTAAACAAGCCAAAAGAGGGGTGGCTAACCCTTCATTTTTGGGACTTCAAAACCACTTTTTTAGCCTCTGAAAACCTCTGAAAATCAGTGGTAAGAAGCTCAAAAAAAGTTGATGAAAAGATGGGAAACACAAGGGTAAAAGCCTAGGAAGCAAAGTTCAAAGAAGGGTGGCCAACCCCTCTACCTTTAATGGCCTTAAACCACAAGTTTCAACCCATAAAAATAGTTGAAAAATAGTAAGAAAAGATAGGGAAGAAGTAGTGCAAAGGTGCTAGTAGTTATACCTCTTGAAGAGGAATAACACTTTTATTCATAAACCAACAAGTTCTCACTCTCAAGGGCTAAGATTTGAGCTCAAGAACCTCAGCAAGAAGAGCTAAATTTTTGGTTTAGGAAGTGTAAAGAGAGTGTGTAGGTTGCAAGACAGAGAGGGAGAGTGCGATGCAAGTATTGGAGTTTTTGGAATTTTTGCTAACCTTAAAACCAAGAGGGGTGGTCATCTATATATAGAAAATCATGTGCCCAGGTTGGAAATATCTGTATACATACAGCTGGTGCAGTGCATGCACCTATGGGGGACAACTGGCAACAAATATCTGTGTTTTACACAAGTGGGCGGCCGTCTACAAATCGTGGGTGGCCGGCCACAAAAATCTACTTTGAGGCCTGACTTTAAACAGGCATATCTCCTTCATCCGGACTTGGTTTTAGGTGATTCTTGAGCCTAAATTGAAGTCCCAGAAGTCTAATTTACAATGGTGGTGGCCTCACATATAAATTCTAAGTGTTCAAAGAGATATGCCTATTTTAGTGAAGGTTGCTCATTTCTATCCTAACGAATTGATGCCCAACTTTTTTCCCAACTAGTTTTCTTCCCTCTCCTCCAATTTTCTTAAACTCCAAACCTATAAATAAGAGGTTTTAAAGATTTTTCAAAGAGTTCACCTCCCTTCCATTTATTTCCACTTTGTCCTTACTCGGTTTACCGAAAAGTGTAATATTTTAAATGAAATGCGAGCCTCGAAACATCGTAGAAGCATCTAGAAAAATATTTTGAAAAAGAGGGTTTTAAGGTCTAAAATAGTTTTGGTCAAAAATAGCGTGTAAGGTTAGGATTTAGAAGCTCTTCTTGCTGAAGAAATTGAACATTTGTAGAGCATAACTTTCATCATCGAGTGATCAACCTGAGGCACCCAAGTCTTAAGGGCGGTAAAAAATGGGGTGCCTACAGATCCTTACTGGAAGTCCATCTCAGCAATGTCCCTACATACTTTGAGTTTGTCTCTCAAGACCACCTTTGTAAGCATGTTAACTGGATTCTTATCTGTGTGGATCTTGACCAGTTCTAATAACTCTTTCTCCATTACTTCACATATCCAATGATATCGAACATCAATCTGCTTTGTGCGAGAATGTTACATAGAATTCTTACTTAGGTCTATGGCATTTTGGCTATCACAATGTACCGTGAACTTTTCCTGCTTTAGTCCCAATTCTTGGAGAAACTGCTTCAACCACAACATCTCTTTCCCAACTTCCGTTGCGGCAATATACTTTGCCTCGATTATGGATAAAGCAACACACTTCTGTAGCTTGGACTACCAAGACACATCTCCCCTTGTGAAAGTGAACAGAAATCTTGATGTAGATTTTCTACCAAGATCGCCTGCCATATCTGAATCAGTATAGCCTTTCAAGACTGGTTTAGCTCCTCCAAAGCACAAACACATTTTAGATTTACCCTTAAGGTACCTCAGAATTCACTTGACTGCTTCCCAATGCTCTTCTTTCCTGGATTGGAAAGGAATCTTCTTACTACACCAACAACATGAGCAATATCTGGTCGGGTGGACACCATTGCATACATTAAACTCCCTACTACAGAAATGTAGGGAATTGCCTCCATCTCTTCTCTTTCTTTCTTAAATGAGGGACAAGAACTCTTGCTTAGCTTGAAATGATTATCCAGCGGAGTACTGACTGGCTTGGCATCTTTCATGTTGAACTTCTCAAGTACCCGTTCAACATACTTCTCTTGTGACAACCACAACTTCTTGGATTTCCTGTCACGTATGATTTTCATACCCAAAATTTGTTGTGCAGGGCCTAGATCCTTCATGCCAAAGGATTGTGATAACTCCTTCTTCAGTGATCTGATTGTTGTGGCATCCTATCCAATAATCAGCATGTCATCAACATAAAGCATGAATATGATGAAGTTTCCACTAGGAAATTTCCTAATGTATACACACTGGTCTGCAGTAGTTCTTTTGTACTCATGACCCACCACAAATGAGTAAAACTTCTTGTATCACTGTCTCGGCATTTGTTTGAGGCCGTAGAGGCTCTTCTTCAATCTGCAAACTAAGTTTTCTTTTCTTTTTACTTCAAAACCTTCAGGTTGCTCCATATAAATTTTTTCCTCCAAATTACCATGGAGAAATGCGGTTTTCACATCCATTTGCTCAAGTTCCAAATTCAAACTGGCCGCTAGTCCCAAAACTGCTCGAATGGATATCATTTTCACAATTGGCGAGAAGATTTCATCAAAATCAATACCTTTCTTCTGCCCAAAACCTTTGACAACCAATCGAACCTTATACTTGACTAGCTTTCTGCTGCTATCTTTCTTCAACTTGAACACCCATTTGTTCTTTAGTGCTTTTCAACCTTGGGAAAGTTTTACCAAATCATAAGTCTGATTTTTCTGCAAGGACTGCATCTCTTCTTGCATAACTTGTTGCCAGTTACTCTTCTCCTTATGATTCTGAGCTTCTTGAAAACTTTCTGGCTCCCCCTCATCTGTAAGCAAAATATAGTTAGAAGCAGGGTATTTTGACGACAGTTTATGCTCTTTCGTTGATCTTCATAACTGTGGACCAACAGTATCTGGCGGAGAGGGTTGTGGCTCCCCCTGCTCAACACCCTATTCTTCTGGATCTTCTTTTTTTGGAAATCCATCTTGCAACTCTACATCATTGGCTGCATGTTGCGGTAGCTCTTCTTCATCAGTGGCATGCTGTGATGGTGCAGGGTTTGGAACAATCTTTGAAACATCATCAACTTTGGGTTTGGCTAGTTGCCCAAAGTCTTCCAAGGTCTGACCTTCTTGAAACACCACATCTTGGCTTCGAATGACCTTTTTGTTTTTCGAATCTCACAATCTGTATCCAAATTCTTCATCTCCACTACCAATAAAAATGCATGGAGTAGCTTTATCATCCAGTTTCTGCCTGTGCTCCTTGGATACATGTGCAAATTCTTTGCACCCGAACACTCTCATGTGAGAGTAAGAAATCTCCCTTCTTGACCATACCTTTTCTGGAATCTCAAAATTCAGTGGAACTGATGGCGATCTATTGATCAAATAGCAAGCAAGACGAACAACTTCTCCCTAAAATGACTTTGATAGTTTTGCTATTTTGAGCATACATTTGACCTTCTCCACAATGGTCTGGTCCATTCTCTCGGCTACACCATTGTGTTGTGGGGTTCCAGGAACAGTCTTCTCATGCTGAATACCAGGAGTAGCATAGTAGGCTTCAAACTCCTTTGACGTGTACTCATCTCCATTGTCTGTTGGAGACACTTCAGCTTCTTTCCAACCTCCCGTTCCACCATAGCATGGAATGTCTGAAAATCATGAAACACCTTAGCTTTGGTCTTTAGGACATAAACCCATACCTTCCGTGATGCATCATCAATAAATGTTAGGAAGTATTTTTTGCCACCCAAAGATTCTACTTCTATGGGACCGCATACATCAGAGTATACTCTGCACAACAACTCTGATTGTCTTCTGGATGATGAATGGAAAGCAGCTTTATGATGCTTTCCAAACAAGCAGTTGTCACAAGGATTCAATTTCACATCTTTGGCAAAGGGAAAAAGAGACTTCTTTGCCAGAATCTGCAACCCTTTCTCACTCATGTGACCCAGCCTTTTGTGCCACAAATTTAGTGATGCCTCATCTTCTGTGGCATTGAGGCTATCTGAAATCACATTCACATGAGTCTTGTACAACGTACCAGTTGTTTGTCCTTTGGCTACCAGCAGAGATCCCTTCTTCAATTTCCACATGCCTTTGCCGAAGTAGTTCTGATAGCCTTGTCAATCTAAGGCTATCCCTGGAATAAGATTCAGGTGTAAATCGAGAACATGCCTGACATCTTTCAACACCATCCTGCACCCAACTTTGGTTTGGATGCGAACATCATCGATTCCTACAATCTTCGAAAAACTGGAGTTACCCATCTTCACTGTACCAAAATCTCCAACTTGGTACATACTGAAGAACTCCTTCTGGGGTGAAGCGTGGTAGGAAGCTGCTGTATTTACCACCCACTCAGTGTCGTTGTTTGACATATGGAGGTATTCTTCTTCTTCAATAGAGAATAATGCTATATCTTTTGAGACAGTAACTATAGTGTTCCCATCTTCGGTCTTTGGTTGTCTATTGTCTTGTTTTTGTTCTCCCTTCAAGGCATAGCAATATTTCTTTATGTGACCCTCCTGGCCAGAATAGTAACATTTGAACCTTGGCTGACTCGTACCTTCTCTAGACTTCCCTCTGTCTTGAGATCTTCCTCTGCTACGTCGTCTACTTTTGCTTCTTCCCCTACCTCTGCCTCTATATTTATTTTCTGTGACGAGGGCATGAGACTGATCTCCACACATGTCTTTCTTTCTTGCCTCTTCACTAAATAAAGCATTAGTGACCATGTTCGTGGTCAGTCTCCCTTCAGGTGCAGAGTTGCTGAGGGACACAACCAACGTCTCCTAACTATCTGGCAAGGAGCTGAGCAACAATAGGGCATGTATCTCATCATCCAACTCCATTTTGACAGTTGCTCGTTGGTTCACCAAATTTTGGAACTCACTGGTGTGTTTTGCAATAGAGACGCCGCCTTTTAACTTCAAATCTACAAGCCTTCTCATTAGGAGGGCTTTATTTCGAGTAGTCTTCAATTGGTACATGCCTTCTAATTTTGTCCAAAAAGCATAGACATTAGTCTTTTGGGCGACATAGTGGAAGACACTATGATCAATGGTGTTTTAGTTCTTCTGCTTCTAGTCTTCATCCTTCTCCGGAGCTAGTTTAACTCCATTAAGCTCAATGGGGTCAAACAAATCTCGGCAGTACAGGGCATCCTCCATTCTTGGCTTCCAAATTGCATAGTTGGAAGCATTCAGCTTGATCATGGATCCCAAAGTTGATGTTGATTCCTCCATCAATAATTGTCTCTACTGAAAATGATCTTTGTTTGAAAAATTAGACTACGCCGTTGAGTCCAGACTGGTCAAATTAGCCAAAAAAGCACTTCGGACTGCCAAAATAAAACAGTAAATTTTTTGAAAACTAATTTACAAAATCTAACCATACGGATGTGTTCGGAATATTCCAAATAGTTGGAAAGCACTATTGGTTCATCAAAAACGGACTCAGAATGGCTCAAATCAAGCCAAAACAAGTTAAATGGTTCAGATCGGTGAAATCTAGTATGCCTGAGAAGCACCGGATAATTCCTCCGATTCGGCTGGCATCAGCGATGGCGGCTTGGCTTGGTCAACGGCTCGGTCAACAGCTTGGTCAACTCAGCTCGACTCTGGTTAGCGGCTTTAGTAATTGGCTTGGTAGACTTGGTTTCAGCCCGACTGAGGCGGCTCAGTTTCGGCTCGGCTTGGCTTCAATGAATTTTCTGAAAAAAAATTTGATTTTGTTGCCACAGAGTTTTGATCTCTTGACTTCTAAGGCCTGGGCTTTACCCACTCTGCCAACACAAGACTTGTGTCTTATGTCTTCACCAATAAGTCTTTATTACATAAAAACAGAAGGGTCATCTTATTCCCTGGTTTCACGCGTACAGTGCGTATGGCCAGTCTCCGGTGCGTAGGAATGGCGTCAGTGGTGCGTGTAGCGCGTGCGGCCTCCTCCGACCTTCGTTTTTTATGTGATTTTTTTTTTCCTGTGTGCTCGTCTCATTGAGTGCTTCAACCTAGTGTGATTAAAAGTGGATTTTGACCAATTTGATTTTTGGGCAATTTTGAAGAACACACTCTGTTTCACAACTTTGCTCTGATACCACTTTGTTAGGATTAGGCACACTTAGAAATCAATCAATAGACAATCACACACATAAATGAGACACAAATATTTACGTGGTGCGGCCCAATGCCTACGTCCACAGGAGAAAGAGAGAAAGCTTTACTATGATCAAAACAAATACAAAAACAGAGGAGGATGAGCTCACTCTCTAAACCCAACTCACAGATACACTCTTCACAACTCTCTCTTTTCTTCACACTCTAATGATCTCTCTCAGCTCATAGCTCTTCCCATTTTATACACAAACGGGAGTGCAAA